AATTAAAAAAATTACATAAAAAATGAAAACTTTTTAAATAGTTGATTTGACATTAACATTGATATATATATTTTAAAATTTTTATGATATCTTCAAATTTATATTTTATTCAAAGGTGGTGTATAATTATGATAAATTATTTGAGTGGACATTATTTTATTATTTAAAATTTTATATCTTCATGGTTAAGAAACCATGAATTTTATAAWRCAAAATCCACCGCCCAAAGTATTTCTATTGGACAGAAGCTGTCACCATCTTTGAAGTTTGATTATTAAAATCTTCCACCGCCAAAGTGAGGATATTTAAAGAAGAGTTTGATAAGGTTATCCTTATCACTGTCACTCTTTTAAAAAGAACTTGTGTGTGCGAGTTAAAAGTGTTCTTGAAGAGATTGTGAGTTGCTGTGTGCTTTTTATCTTCAGAACCTGTGATTTGTTAAGGTGAGTTTTAAACTACCGTTGAGTATAAACTGTGAAGTTTTAAACTACTGTAGAGTATAAACTGTGAGTAGTTTTGAAACTAATTCTTTTATGTACTTGTGACTTAATTGTTGAATCTGGATTTCGAAGATGTTATTCAGTTTTAAACGGCAGATAAGCTGCTACTGTTTCGAATCTATTTCTGGGTAAAAAGGATGCAGCTTAATGTTTTAAACAGCTTGGTTTATGATTCTGTTTTGAGGATTGAAACTTTGATGTTTTGGAAATCTTTGAAAGACAAGGTTGTTCTTGGGTTTGAAAATATTTTTATGGATTAAACTATGAATGAGGATTCGATAAGATGGTTGTGACTGCGGTCCTTTATCCGAACTAGTTCATAAGATTTTGAAGAAGAAATAAGGGTGGCATATCAAGGAGAGGTGTCTTTTGGGATAAGGGTGGCATATCAAGGAGAGGTGTCTTTTGGGATAAGGGTGGCATATCAAGGAGAGGTGTCTTTTGGGATAAGGGTGGCATATCAAGGAGATGTGTCTTTTGGGATAAGGGTGACATATCAAGAAGAGGTGTACCTTTGGATATAAGGGTGGCAATTGTATGTGAATATTATAGCTCTTGCTATTATGTCTTTTAAGACTACAATAGATTTGAGTCCTTACTTCTTTGTGATTTGAGAACTCAATGATATTGTTTTTATTAGAAATAATGGTATAGATGTTATTGAGAAGGGAAAAACTTGGCTTATGGCCATTGGTATTGGTTAAAAGTGTTTTGAAACAGAATGGTTATTTTCATGAGGAATCAGAGGGGCTCTGGTTGTTCCTTGTAAGGAACCAGAGGGGCTCTGGTTGGTCTTCATCGTTGGACCAGAGAATTCTGGTTGTTGATTTAAAGGATGAGCAAGTTTTTACTAAGGGTTTTATTTGGATTAAAGGTTTTGTATCTTTTGATAAGAGTTTCTATGTCAAAATCATGCTTTCGTAGTTTTAAGAAAAAAAATTTATACTTAGAATCTTTTTATGGAAAAACAGACCAGAGGAGCTCTGGTTGACTTACACGTTGAACCAGAGGGGCTCTAGTTGGTTATGACTTTTGAACCTGAGGCTCTGGTAGTACAACCAGAGGCTCTGGTCGAAAATGAACTTTTTATAAATTGCTTGTTTTATGAAAAAGGCTATCTTATTGGTTGAAGGTTTATCTAAAGATCATTTATATGAGTCAGAGATGTTAGTAGTACAACCAGAGGCTCTGTCATAAAGAGCAGAGGCTCTGTCATGAAGAGCAGAGGCTCTGGAAAAAAAAGGTCAGAGGCTCTGGTCCTGTGTCGAAATATTTTCTAAATATGGTTTAGAACCAGAGGCTCTGTCATGAAGAGCAGAAGCTCTGATAGAGAGACCAGTGGGGCTCTGGTCCTGAATTTCAAATTATATTCCAAGTCTGGTTAGTGAAACCAGCGGCTCTGGTTGTAAAGAGCAGAAGCTCTGGAAGAGAGACCATAGGGGCTCTGGTCCTGTGTCGAAATATTTTCTAAGTGTTACCAGAGGCCCGATGGACCAAAGCAGTATGTTTTCAGTTTTGCTTCATGCGATGAATGATTTGAAATAAATGTTTTGGTGATCTTCACCCTGCATTTCATTGAAGGGAACCTCACTAGACCCGTATGGTCTAACCCTCATTTTCTGTTTTAAATTATGTAATGCAGGAATAGCTAGGTCCGGGGATGTAAAAGGGAAAATGTGATTATTTTTCCTAGTCTTTTGCCTACTTTTGAAGATGCATGTTATATTACATGTAGTAGTACATGATTCGTTTTGGAAATTTTTATATGTCAATTTTGTACATATGATTATCCTTGTACTAGTGGGACCGTTTGATGTAATTCATGTTTCTATGTAATGAAATATGTGTTCTATGTAAATGTGGTCTTTGGGGCGTTACAATTACACAAAAAGATGAAGAATTTCAAATAGTTAATTTGATACTAATATCGATATATTTTTGTCAAATTTTTATGATATCTTCAAACATATATTTTATTCAAAAATAAAAACATCATCGCTTTATCAAAATCACATAAAACCATATTATAACATCGACTGAGATAAATAATAAAACGAAATATTAAAATCACGATGTATCTCGCTGCATTGCGCGAGTACGCTTCTAGTATATAAACATTGACAAAAACTCTTAATTCAAGATTATAAGTAAGTTGTGCGTAAGTATAATTTATTAAAGCTTCATGTTTGAATTCGTGTAACTAACTGCAAATAAACATAATCAAATGCATGATAAACATTTCATTTTAAATATAAAAATCTAAAATATAATTAGGATAATCATTGAATTCTAATAGAATACTTAATTATTATCTTTATAAAAAATTATATTATTAAACTTGAATTAAATTATTCCGTTATGTTAAATTAAATTATAACAAAAAATTTGAATTAATGAAATTACACAAAATAAACATTCACACACCACACACACACACACACACACACACACATATATATATATATATATATATACATACATACCAGAAAGGTACTCACGCAATGTAGCGAAATAAATCTCGATTTTAATGTTTAATTTTTATTCTTTGTCTCTATGATATAATGTGATTTTATGTGGTTTTGAGAAAGCGAAAATATATTTATATTTGAATGAAATATAAATTTGAAGATATCATAAAAATTTGAAAAATTAAATCGATATTAATATCAAATTAATTATTTAATAGTTTTCGAAAAAATAAAGTAATTTATTTTTACTTTAATAATATACTTTTTTATAAATATAATAATTAAACATTATGTTAGAACTCGATAATTATCTTAATTAAATTTTAGATTTTCTATATTAAAATGAATTTTTATCCTATATTTGATTATGTTTATCAATAATTAATTACACGAATTAAAAAATGGAGTTTTAATAAGTTGTATTTATGCAAAATTACTTGTAATCTTGAATTTTAAGTAATATACATCAATAAACAATACTTCATGCATAAAAAATGATTTTTAAATTTTTTATCAAATATTTTATAATATAATATAGATATACGTGTGAGAGGGAGAGAAACCAATCTAATAATAAACAACTAGAATGCATTTGAAAAAAACAATAGTATTAAAATTTTGTTATTCTAATTAACTTTAAAAATAAAAATCATAATAAATGTTGGATTAGCCATGTCACATGTAAAGAAACAATTACAAAAAATGACAAAAGTCACGCTCCATTACGTTCTATTAGTGAAGTCTAGTGATGGTCAAAAACCGGTCCTGGGTCGGGCTTAATCGGTCTCATGCTTTCTCATAATTGGACATAACCGGTTCTGGTTCCGGTTGAAAATGATAGGACCGGTCAAGGTACTTCATAACCGGTTATGGGCCGCCGGTTCCGGTCTCAACCG